ATAGATAGATAGATAGATAGATAGATAGATAGATAGATAGATAGATACTTAAACCACTTTAACCTGTGCCCTCATTGACCCATTCATACAGAACTCTACTACGTCTTTACAAAAACTAATCAGAGCTTTATCACATTCAAACACTGATGGGACACAGGTCGGAAGCAGTGAGGGGTTCAGTGTCTTGCCCAAGGACACTTCGGCATGTGACTCATGGTGGAATCGAACCCTCAACTCTTCCATTGGAGGAGACTGCTCTAACCACTCAGCCACACATAGTAATTGTCCAAATAGTGAAGTCCCTATAGTAAAAGAAAATATTTCTTGAAATCAAGGGTATGAGATGACAATACAACATGCCAAGAGGTGAAAGATGAAGCAAACCCACGAGTGTGTTTTTACTTCACTGACTGACATCTCTCTCTCTGAATTAGTCACGATGAGCGATGTGTAACCAGCCATGACTCTTTCTGGCTGGGGGGACAGCTAATTCACTTTGTTTAATTAGTCAAAGGTAGTAGAGCATGGACTGCTCCCCCTCCCCCCATCACACCCTCCTGCTGCTCAGCATCCAGCCGCCTGCAGGCCTGCAGCGACGACAGACCTGTGATCAGCAGCAGCATTTCAGGAGGAAGGACTTCAGTTCTGATCTGTCAGAAGAAACTGACTCCTCCTCTCACTCTCTCACACACACACACACACCAATTTGAACACCTTTACAGAACGCTCCAGCATCATTTGAGGATCGCAGTTTCAGGGTAAAAGCTCATCCAGTATATAGAAGGGGCGACTTCTGCCAGCGCATGGCTGCAACTTATCTTTTTCCAACAGGAAGAAGGAACTCCTACTTTCTCTGCCAAAGAAATTATTTCCACCAGGTACTGTGAACAGTTGTGTCTTCATGCATTATTCAGGCGTTAGGAGGTTTCATGTTATTTAGATGTATTAAACTTTAATGGGCAAATGATCACTTTACCGTTTTTAAATCCTAATCTTGCAGATTATGAGCACAGTTCTACAGATTTAAGAACCACTCAATAATTTTGCACAGTTACATACTGGAATCCCTTTAGCACCATGAGACATGCACACAGAATATTACATATGGTAATAATTCCTATTTGTTCAGTAATTGTGTTTTAAAATGTTAGGCAAGAGCTTTATAACTACAGGAGTTTTGTGTTAGAAAACTGTGAAGATGGTCAACGTAAGCAAAATACAAAGTTCAGCTGAAAATCTTTTGAATTTTAGTTTAAATAAAAAAAGAGAATATATTTAGTTTGACTAAATTAAAATAGGAATTAAATAATTCATGGAATAAAAAGTTCAACAAGTATAGCCTAATAAATGTTTTTTTGTAATTTTAAATAGTAAAACAAGACAAAGGCTTTTATTTTGTTTAATCTCATGGTTTGTTATGCCAGAATAAATTTCTATGGTATCAATTTTTAACATTCGATATATCCCAAAATACAAACTATTGTTTCAGTGTGTAAAATCAGAATAAAAGGTTTATTTTTAAGATATGATGAACCAACCTCGTTTTACTTGACTGTGTGTTTTGTAAAACGTTGTGGTTTTAACATAAAGTCTTTACTTTTGATAGAAAGTGAAAAATAAATAAATAAAAAAACCAGCTCTGGAGCAAGTCCAGAAACAACTACAGTGTTTTCAGATTTTCTCTTAATTTACTATTTATAAGTTTAAGTAAAATTAACGTTTTATTTTTATTATATAACCAATGTTTCTTCTGAAATTTTAATTAAAATACTATCATTTGGAACATTTGTTTTGCAGAACATGATAAATGGGCAGAATGGCTGCAGTGTTGTCACATTTCACATAATGCAAAGAAAAGAAGTTTATATTTATTTAAATCAAAAATGGATATGAATGAACTCGGTACATTCAGCTTTTAATCACAACTTCCATGTGATTCATGAGAATTTTGCTCATACTGATGCAAAAAATTCAACCAACTCAGCTGTTTGTTGTATCAACGTCTTGATGGAGATCCAGAGGTTTCCAGAGGTTTCCAATGGGTTCAGGTCTGTATGGGGCTGGCCATGCAGGGTCTTGATCTGGTGGTCCGCATCTGAAGTTCATGCTCTCGGTGCCAGTAAAGTTTAAATGAAACACTTATTTTCCTCACTCAAAACTTTTCTTTTCAACCACTTCGACGTAGTCAATAGAATTTAATATTCCAGCACTGTTGTTTCCCTGATTTGTTTATTTTTCTGCACAATTGTTGTCATCCTTCTCCATATTTTGTGCTATCTTAACCATTCATCTAACATTTAGTTCATTGTGGAGAGAGGAGCTGCGCAGTAGGGTTTTGTAACTTTACTTTTCTTCACAAATTTAAACTTTATTTTAAAAATAAAAGCCAATAAACATTGGAATCCACTTCATGTTTCAGATTATACAGCTGAACTAATGTTTACTCCTGATGCGTATTTTAGGACTTCAAAAACCAATGTTCTGTTAAGTTTAGCTCACATTTAGCCACTTTTAGCTATTAATTAGCATTTTGATACTTTTAGTTTGGCTGGCTTTTTACTACTTTCAGATTTTATATAGCCATTTTAGCTTTTAGCTTGCATTTTAACATTTGTTATTCTTTTTAATTAGCATATTGCAACTTATAGGTCTTCACGGGGTCATTCAGACCTGAGCCTTGACGTCACAGACTCTGTAGGGATGCTGGTTTCAGGGCATGCGCGTGATCTTCAGCGTGTTTAAACAGAAGCCAGTCTCGTGCCAACAGTTCATCAGCTCCTGCACCCCCACCCTGGCTGCACATTGTTACCATGGAGAGCTCCCTCATACCCCAAAGCCAATAAGAGGTGCGTGCACAGCATGCGGCAGAACGGCATAAATAGATTTACGCGCAAATGTCACATTTAATACATTTACGGGGCGCGCGTGTGAATTCATTATTACACCATATGTTAATGCAGCTGGTGCTGTGTGCTTCTGAGGCTGTGCGTGTGCGTGTGCACACACTGCTGTCCGGGAGTCAGTGGAGTGGAGAGAGAGAGAGAGAGAGAAGGAACGACTCCGAGCGCGCGCACTGTTCCCTTTGCAGCCTGATGCCCAGATTCGCCACAACACCGGTGTCCTGGCTGCAGGATGGGAGGTCGCTCTGAACTTGCGTCGAGGCAGATTTTTCTCATCCTTGCAGCGGGGAGCGGAAGGAGAGCTCATCCTGAGAGCTTCTTCAACACATCGTTGATGTGAAGGAAGAGAAATCCCGACACCACTGGCTCCTGGGCCGGACATGTTTGGACCTGATCGGATGCTGCGTGCAGGAGCTGCTGATTCATGAGGGCGCCTCGCATCGCGCACAAAGAGGCTTCACTTCGACCACAACATCAACAGAAAGCGACGCGGGACGATCCGGATGGACTGAGTCCCCGTCGCTCCTGCAGCCGCTTTATGATGATGATGATGAAGAGCAGCGGGCTGTAGAAACCACAGAACTTTACTGGGTTTAAAGGTAATCCTCCGAGTCACCAGTCATTACAGAAACACATCCGTCACACCTAAATGTGTGCACACGAATGTGAACTCAATGTTAGTTCAACTCCAGTTATTTGAAGAAACATATTTTGAACCTTTTTCTTGCCTTTGTGAAGTTAGATTCTTTTTTTTAATACTAAACATTTCTTCTTTATCTGCTGCTATTTTACTTTGTTTATAAACAGACAATTTATAGTTTATTTTGTGTGGATTCAATAACTGGCATTTTGTCAGGGGGTGGTTTTAAGGTGTTATAACGAAATTAAGATTGTTTTAATGAATCATTAAATTATTTGCTTTGTTGATTTACCAAAGAAAAACATGGTATTTTACCAAAAACAAAGACGGTTTGCAAAATGCAGTTGTATTTAATATCCAATGAGAAAGATCTATATAACAAATTAGTTTCAAGTTGTCCAAACTTTAAAAATTCAACATCCTAAATTTTAAGCACGCTTACAACAACGAGTTGATTAAAAATCCTACTTGCGGAAAGAAGATGTTCCATCTTTTTCTAAATATTTGACCTATGGTAACCTCGTTCTTTTATCGTCCGTATTTTTTTAACTATAAGGCACACGTAAAATGCTTTAATTTTCTCAAAAATCGACAGTGAGACTTCACGTCTTTTTTTTTAACTGTCTGAGATGAACCTGTGAGGAGAAAACGCTGAGTAGTGACTGCTCGGAGTTGATATACGGCATCGTTTGTGTGCAACATCATTTCAGGATACATGTCTGGAGGCAGTGAGGGAAATGTGACCAGTGGTTCTCCGAAGGACACCAGAAATGGTGTGGCTGTATTGATCATGGTAGAAAAATGTTCTCACGCAGCTTGAGGGCTTAATCCCCACACAGATCCAAACCAGTCTGTCTTCAAGCACTGTTATATCCTCAGACGTCCTGATCATCTTAAAATAATATGTCTTTGCAATTTGAGAAATTATAGCTCGTATTTGTAACTCTCGTACAGCAATTTTTATCCTACTCGTGATTTGTTTGTCAAATTTTTATCTTTCTCTCTGAATTTACTGCCTTTACCACCTGTTTTATTAGAATCCAGTTGACATTGGAAGACAGTAAAACAAACGTTTATTAAACTTTATTCTGTTCAAATTAATGAACAAACCGCACGTTTAATTTTTACTTGGAATTCCCAAGGAATGTCAACTTTTAGGATCAAGGAGACATATTGGTTTCTTCAGTATCCCAGTGCTAAACCTCATTCTGAGTTACTCCCAACCATTTTAGACACGAAGTGTGGCCTCAGCTCTCAGAATCTGTCTTCTATTAAAAGTGTTTGGCAACATAAAGAGGAGAAGACAGCAGACCTTTGGGTGGTTAGATAATGGCAACCATTATTAACTACTTTGACTGAAGACTGCCATTTACAGGTACAAACGTGAATATCTAATAATAAGCATAAGTGTATATCCATGCCTAGATGTGTGTATGAATACATACAATA